AAAGCGGAGCATATTCTAATATATGAGAACAAAGCTACCTTGTTCTAACTCAAAACTAGCCCATCGTCATCCTGAATTTTTGCAAGCTTCTGACGTCAATAAAAATCTCGAATGCGATATTTGCCTGAATATTTCCTATAAACACTATATACAGATGAAGTTAATTGTCCGCATTCTATACATGGAACCTGTCTAGGAGACTTCCAATGAACTTTACACTCTTCTGGCCGATAGCACCCCTCATTGCACACTTCTCCAGTCCTAAGAATATACAGACAATTATAAAATCCCATTCTAATAGACTCTTCTTTTTGAATAAATATGTAACTCTAATTATCTGAATAAATTAATTTTCATTTTAAACATTTTGTAACCATATATAATCTTTAGGAAAAAATGAGCGGATTATTTAGTAGTATAACTGGCGCACTAGGGCGATTATTCAGAAATTTTTGGGGAGATCCATCACCATCCGAGTTACTTGAGCCTTCTGAATTACCAGTACCAGAAGAAGAGCCGGAGGTGGAGTCGGATGGGGAGAGCGACTATGAGACCGCCGATGAAGGAGAAACATCAGATTCTGAATCTGTTAACGAATCCGAACCTGAAGAAGATGACAAATAATATTTAGAAGAATAGAAGATTCAGCTCCGAAAAGGTTAATAGAAACTAGAAGAATTTCCGATCAATGCTTATGTGTAGATCATCTTGCTAAAATTCCAGAAACTTATTCATATTGAGGAGATCCCCTAGTCACATTCGAGGATATAGAAGATCAAATTAGTGATGTTTATGGAAGAGAATTAGTTCGCTTAGGGGGGATAAAAACAAAGATAGTTCTCATAGCTCATATGTATCGGATTGTACAAGTAGGTCGTTTTGGATATCGAGAAAATGCAGACATAGCATTTCCAAGTGAAATCTTGGATAATATTCACCAGAATCGAATAGATTAAACAGTCTCACGTCAATATAATGAAATCTTAGATAAAATCGATGAAATGAAACAAACTCAGGGTTCAGGCTGGATTTATGATTATGGAAAAAAATCTTCTTAGAAATAAGTGCGTACCAGCCACTCCGAGGTAGCTCACATTTCAATTTACCAAAGATATGGGCAAAGCCACAGTTAGGAATTATCAATCTGCAAAATATTGATGAAAGATGTTTCGAAGCTTACATGAAGGCTCATTTAGCTAGGTAAGAAGCCTGTAAAGAGAGGCGTAGAGCAAGAAATCTTCATGATATTAGTAGATTACGGCACTTTGATAATATACTAGACTTCTTCGGTATTGATTTTCCAGCCACATTGTGGGATATTGACAAATTTGAAGAAAATAATCTGTCTTATGCAGTAAATGTATTTTACCCTGCACCAGAACAAAATGATAAAGAGCAAAAAACTAGAAAGTTAGACCCACTCCGCATATCAAAATATAATTATCAAAAGAGCATATGGTAGATTTAATTTTGTTCACTGAAGGAGAGGAAGATTTGAGAGATCATCGTAATATTAATGACATATCAGAAGGGCTAAATACGCATTACTGTCTCATTAATGGAGAAAATGGATCGAATCGGATCATGCGAACTTGGAATAAGTATCATAGGCGAAAATATTTCTGTCGTCACTGCATGATTGCTTCATTCTTGAGATTGGATTTGCTCCAAGAACATATAGAGTACAATTGCCACGGTCAAAATAATCCTAATGTTAGGCAAAAAGAAATATTCCTCAAAAAGGGAATGCATATCATGAAATTCAAAAATTATAAGGCCATGGAAAATGTCCCATTTTATTTCGTTAAAGATCTTGAAGCAGATAGTGACCCGATAGAAAAAAATGATATCAACAAAAAGACCATTAAACTACAAAAGCAGAAGCCCAATAGTTATGGCTATATTTTAATGCAAACGGATGGAAATCTAGCAAAAGAAGTTGCTAGACGAACTCTGAACTCAATTGCAGAGTCATGGGAAAGCATCCAGCAAGACATAGAGGAAATTATCAAGCTGAAGCTACGTATCCCAGAAAAAAAAAAAATGACAGAGCGTGATTGGCGAAGACATAAGTCAGCCATAAGATGTTACATATGTGAAGGACATCTACACGAAACCAGATATAATAAAGTAAAATATTTTGTTCCAACCAAACAATTCATAGGTGGTGCTCACTATGGTTGTGTTAAAATTAAGTGTGAAGCTACAGAAGAAAACCTAATGGAAGCTATATATCATACAGAAGGCTTGAGTATAGAAGAGGATGATATATTCAAAAAAGCAACCAAATGCTGTATATGTAAAATGAGTCTTTGAGCTGATATAAATGACAACAGGGTTAGAGATCATGACCATTTTACCGGAAAATATTGTGGGCCAGCTCATCGTGGTTGTAATCTTCAACTCTGAATAAAGCCAGATGAGATTAAGATCTCATTAATTTATCATAGTGAAAAACATTATGACTTTCATCATAAAATACGGGAACTAGGCCTAGTCAGTGAAGACAAAATCGAAATAATTGCAGATAACCAGGAGAACTATAAGACGATAATAATTGGTCAGATAAAGTTTGTAGATTCCTGCCAATTCCAGTTTCTGTCATTAGAAAAAGTAGCAAGTAATTTGCGTGGACAAGAAAGGATGCCAGAGCAACTAGCCAAATGCTTTCCAATTATGACGTAGAGCATACCTCAGCATTTACTCCCGCTACTTACACAAAAAAGTGAGTACCCATATAAATTAAATGGTCCAGATTGCTTCTCTAGAACAGAGCTCCTTTCAAGAAAAGAATTTAATACAGTACTAGGTGGACTAAATTATTGTGAAAATGACTGTAAAAAGTGTAAACATGAAATAAAAGGCAAAAAGTGTAATAGAAAATGTAATTGTAAAAAAGAGGATTGCGAACACGAAAAATGTAAAGAAGAAGATTTAAAGGAGGTCGATAATTGTAAGCATGAGAAGATTTACACTATCAGTCAAAAGCAATATAACTATGCACAGAAAGTATGGGAGGAAGCATGGTGTGAGACATTCGGGAACTATTATAATTTATATCTAAGAACCGATGTTTTAATATTAGTGGACTCAATTTAGCGGTTTCGAACAACAATGAAGGAAGTATCCGGACTAGACCCTTTGAACTATATAACATTGCCTTTATTCGCATTTGACATGACAAAAAAGATGACTAAGGTCAAGCTCAAATTATTTCATAAAGGGCAAGAAGATATGCACAAATTCGTCTAACGCTGGATGCGAGGTGGAAATTCTATGGTCCCATGACGTTTAGCAAGAGCAAATTTCCCTGGAATAAAAGGCTATAATAAGCGAAAAGCTAACAAATGGCTTCTATATTTAGATGCCAATAATTTATATGAATGGGCTATGTCTCAATATTTGCCGACAGGAGGATTCCGATGGCTTGACCTAAATAATTTGCCCGATATTTAGTCTATATCTCCAACTGCTAAATGAGGGAGTGCTTGGGACGTAAAATTAAGATACCTGGATCATCTCCATCTAACACATACTGAGTACCCACTCTGTCCAGAACGTCGAATAATCAAGCATCAAGAGCTTGACCCTCATCAAAATAATGATCTAATTGATAAACTGAGTGGGGAAAATTTGCTGAGACAGAAAAATTGGTCGCAACGTTGGAGACTAAAGACCGGTATATTATCCATTACCGAAATCTTCAGCAATGTCTCAAATTGGGAATGGAACTCGATCATGTTTATAGAGTATTAGAATTCGATCAGTCTCCCTGGCTGGAGTCATATATTACAGCCAATACAATAAGATGTCGAGATGCCAAAAATGCTTTCGAAAAAAATTTATGGAAATTGATGAACAATGCAGTATTCAGAAAGACTATGGAGGATGTTCGACGTCGCACACGAGTCGATTTAGTACGACCAATAGGAGAGGAACATCGGCTTCACAAAATGTTAGCAGATCCGGCACTAGTTGGTCGTAAGATATTTCACAGAAGCAATCTTATAGCAGTACATCAGAAACAGACGAATGTATTACTAAATAAGCCAATCTATGTTGGGGCTTCGATTTTAGATCTTAGTAAATTCTACATGTACGATTTCTGGTATAACCATATCAAGCAAAAGTATAGAGATCACGCAAAATTATGTTATACTGATATGGACTCACTAATTATCGAAATTGAAACAGAGGATGTCTATACAGATATGGTTGAGAATGCTGACCTCTATGATTTTAGTGATTATCCCGAAGACCATCTATTACTTGAAAAACTTCCACCAAATCAATGGATGGTACTCGTGAGTTAAAAAATAAGAAAGTGATCGAAAAGTGAAAAGATGAGTTCGCAGGAACTCAGGCATTACGATATGCTGAAAATCGATTAAAGTCTTATGCATTAGAAACTGAACATGAACACAAGAATGTGCAAAAGGTGAAGGGTCTCAAAAAATCTCTCGTCAAAAAGAGCTAACTATTGATATTTATGAGCGTTGTATTTTAGAAGGAGTGGAGGATGAATTCCGAACTGCAAACTTCTTACGATGTGAAAGATTTGTTCCATATATAATCTGACAGACAAAAAGAAGTATTAACCCACTTGACTCCAAGAGATGGATATTAAATGACCAGATAACAACATGGGCAATTGGAGATTATCAAATTCTGGAATATCTATCTGCATTGGAGCAATATGGAAATAATATTCCTTAAGAAATAATGACAGATTTGGGATTATAAAATACAAGCTCAGCTATTTCATCTAATATTTTTTTTCTAGAATTTTTTATTCGTAATTTAAACTAACCATTTTATTATACAGCAAAGACTTAGTGTTAGCATACAATAACAGAAAATACCCTAACGAGTAATATTACATGGAAAAGTATTGAGGAGGCGCAATTTAAGATAATAAGAGAAGTATTACGCATTCGCTATAAGAAAGATAGTAAGCTAGTTACTGAATATGCTAATTATGTAAAATTTTGTGTTAAGAGGAAAATCCTGATGAGTATGTAAAATCAACCGCTATAATGCTATTTCCAAATGATGATACCTATGAAAGAAGAATGAGCAGATATCAGAAATGGTACCAAGGTAAAAAAGAACTCCTTGCTAGTATTGAAAACTTATACAGCCTTTACTATATTTTATCTAAAGAAGAGCGTCCTATGACTGAAAAAGAAATTAGCACAACAATAGAAGAGCTAATTGCATATGATGATGAATAAATTATAAATAAGCAGAAATTTATTGATTGAGTATCCATTTTGAAGGTAAATCACAGTGTTTAATCTCCATCAATTCTTTTCGTACAAAAGATCTTTTTGGACCATTATCCTTATCATCTATTAGCCAGTACAAGACCGGCTGATTTTTTGTACAAGAATTCTTTGAATATTAAAAATTTCAGAACTCCAATTCATATTAGTAATTCTTCTTCTAACAGGACATGTTCTAGTTTACCAGGTTTAAGAAGATATTTTACTGAGTCGTAATAGGATAATTGAGGTTCATCAAAACCAATAGACCTTCTGTGTTTTACGGCTGGCTTAGCAATTATCTTCTCTCCATTTAGTGCTCTTTCTACAGCTTCATTAGGAGACATACCAATCAATTGGGTTGGAGTATTATTAAAAATATCATCATTAATACGAAGACCCTTAACTCATGATCTAGACCTTTCAGTTAAAGGTAAATAAAAATCTACAGCATCTTGCTGAAAATAAGCATGCTTTTCAAATTCTTGATAATCACGTTTAGCAATAGCTATACTACGTTTAGAATTAGCATACTGAATTTTAACACCATGACTAAGTAATAAATCCCTACACTCACCTATAAATTCAGTATCTCTATCAATGATTAAAACATTTGGCCAAACAAGAGGGCAATTCGGGTCATCATAAATTTTCTGAAACACTTTAGCCATTTGTGCAGATGATTTATTGGTTAAAGCAAAACTATGACAAAATCTAGTAGCCACATCTTTTAATACAAGACTATGCTTATAAATCTGATTACCTACTTTATCATGAGGCATGGGGGTAGTATCAGATTGGTGCACTTCATTTAAAAATTGTATATTATTAAAAGAGGCATACTGAATAAATTTTGGTCGAGGTTTATGAATCTGAT